CCTCCCCCATATGGGTCTGAGCCCCACTGTGGGTTGGAGTCAGCCTCCGTGAGTCCGAGCCCCTCGATGGATTTGACCTCCCACTCCCTCCATGGGTTTGAAACTCCCAGGTCACTACCCTCTCCACGAGTGTCCCCCTGGGTCGGAGGCCCTCTAATACACTTGAGCTCCCACCAAAAGGGTCTGAGCCCCCTTTGCCTCTTGCTTTGCCACCCTGTGGGTCTAAGCCCCCCCCCAACCCCGGGTCTGGGGCCCTCTTGTGCCTGCGGGTTTGAGCTCCGGGGTGGGTGTCACGTTTGGGACCGACAGTGCCCCGTGGGGACATGACAGCCCTGGGGCTGTGCATCGCCCCTGTGGGGTTTGGAGGCCAAGCTGCTGCTTCGGGCAAAGTGTTTCCCAGCCCAGGGAATCCCGGTGAGAAGGAGGGTGGCAGGGAGGAAGGTCAGGGAAGGGGGTTGAATCGCTGCCCCGAGTTGAGCTGAGATCTCCCCACCTCAGCATGGGGAAGGGGTGGCAAGGGAGCCTCGCAGCAAGGACAGGGTTAAGGAGAGGTTCATCCCGGTGTGGGACGAGGTGACCTTGCTTTGGGAGAGACCGGCTGTAGGCGAAAGCACACGCTGGCGAGCGCTTTTCCTCCCCGCGCCTTGCAGTTCACATCCAGACCTCCCGGGCTCTCATGGTGATTTCTCTCCTCCTGGGCTTTTTCGGCATCATTGTGAGCGTGGTGGGCATGAAATGCACCAAAGTCGGTGAAGAGGATCCCGTTACCAAGAGCCGCATCGCTGTTGCTGGTGGCATCCTCTTCATCCTCTCCGGTAAGGCAGCACCTTGCCAGCACCACCCCTGCACACCTCCGGTGCTGAAGACCTCAAACAGCTTTGAACAGCTGTTTGATGGAAGGAAGGGTGATGGAGCTGGTTTGGTGTTGGATTGGGCGCTGCTGATGTTCGACGTTTGACATCCAGGTCTCTGCACGTTGGCCGCCGTGTCCTTGTACGCAACACAGGTGACCTACGAATTCTTCAGGGAGAGCACTGTCCCCATCAATGCCAGGTACGAGCTCGGCTTGGGGAATGGAATTTATCGGCATCCTGGCTTGTCCCCATGCTTCCAACAACAGAACCTTCCATTGCCAGTTTTGGCATCACGCGGGGTCGTAGGCAGATGTGCTGGGCAGCCAGGATGGGACCTGTGCCACCCCACAGCTGCCATGGTGCAGAAGGTCTCCCCGACTCTAGTTTTAGTCGTTACCGCTGATTACTTTGTGCTGGGACAGAGTAAGAGCGCTCACGTGGAGTTTCAGCCCAAGGGAGACTTAAAGCACAGAGAACTCTTGTGTCCGGATCTGGCCCATGTGAAAGATGGGGCTGGCCAAAATGGGGAACCAACATCTGCCTCAACGTCCCCTGTAGCCTCATCAGGGCTTCGAACGTTTTTGTGTCCGTCTCAATCTGCAGCTCTGCCTTTTCTGCCCCCCTCCCCCACCCGATGCTCCCCGCTGTTTATTGCCACAGGTATGAATTCGGCTCGGCTCTCTTCATCGGCTGGGGGGCACCCTGCTGGGGGGCTCCCTCCTGTGCTGCTCCTGCCCCCCCAAGGAGCGTCGAGGACAGCAGTACTACCGGCAGTCGCAGCCTTCAACGGCCCGGGAGTACGTCTGATCCCTTACCCTGCCTTCCTGTCGCCCGGTGCCTCCCTCCCATCCCCCAAACAGGCAAGATCCCAGCTATCCCACCCTGCATGGTCCCTGGCTGCCCCATGAGACCTTTCTTCTCATCATCTTCCAGGTTTTGGCACCATTTCCAGCACCATTCTCCAAAATAGGGTTTTTTTGGGTCATGCTTCCATATCCATCATTACCAGGGTCCCACCAGTCGGGCGGGTTGACCCCCCCGGGGTGGCCGGGACCATGGGTGGCTGGATCGTGTCCGTCTCTCACGCGAATGCTGCGGAGCGACGTCAGCGGCAGGGCAGTGCCGGCACGGGCGGGGGCACAGTGATGCTCTCACGGGGGTGTGCTGCACAGACATGCTTCGTGCTGTGACCCCCCACCTCTCCCTCCTGGTTTTGGGAGCAAACGCCGAGCAAAGCTGGCACTTGGTTTCCCAGGCTGAAGCTGCTGCCCACCTCCCATAAGACCCAGGCTTGAGCATCCCTGCGTCCTGCTCTTGGCAGAGGGATGCTTTCGGGGTGCAAGGGTTCCCCTGCCTCATTGCTACCCAAAAGCAACATTTTTTTCTATTATTATTAATTCTTGATTTGAGCAACCGAGGCATTAGAAACGACCCGCTTGCTGGTGCTCCAGCTGAGCTCTGCCAGCTAAAATCAGCCCTGAGCTCGTTGCTCACCAGGCCCAATTACGTGGCCTTGTTAAGCGGAAGAATAAATGGCGTTGGACAAATTACAGCAGGCCAAAAGGGGGCTTTGAACACAAAGCAGTGGTTTATTTTTATTTTTGGTGCCCAGCACAGCTATTTCAGATAGCAGATGGACAGACACGTGAATTATGATGCCTTCCCGCTGTGTCCAAATCCCTCTTCCCCCGACAGGATCCCCTGGAGCGGGCAGTGAAGTCTTCAAACGTCGGCGTGCTAATTACCTCCACCTCCTTGTACCTCGAGACTACTAACTGCCCTGCCAATGCTTTATCTCCAATTTCATCTGTAAATCCCCCCAAACCCTCCTGGATCTCCATCCATCCATCCATCCATCCATCCATCCATCCATCCATCCATCCATCCATCTTGCATGTGATACACCAGCAACCTGCAGGAAAAAACAGTGGAAATGATCCAAAGAACCTGATTGTGTTTTTTAAATAATTATTTAATTTTTTTAATACCAATTAGCTGAAGTAACTGTTTTTTATTTCATTTTGCTCTTTTTTATTTTATTTACCTCTATTTTATTTTCTTCACCTCTATTTTATTTTCTTCTACTTTATTTTGTTTCCCTCTACTTCATTTTCCTCTATTTTATTTCATTTCCCTCTATTTTATTTTATACCCATGTGCTGCTTTGGGTCCTGGTCCATGCTAGAGGGGAAGCAACGCTATTTTTGCCCCGGGGGAGGGTGATTTCTCTCTCTCACATGGGACTAACAGCCCTCTTTCTCTCTTAAATTGCAGACCCCCTGTAAAAATGTCTTCTTCACCCATCAGGGGAGAGCAGTGCTTATAGTCTGTCTTCACCCATCAGGTGCTTGGTTGGCTGAACCCAACTTACGGGGTTCCCATCCCAAAATACACACCAAAGGCTACTGCAGTGAGGATTGAAAAGGAAACTCATGCTTTAAAATAAAAAAAAAATCAATCAAAAAGGCGTTTTTATATCAAGAGCACAGTGTTGTGTAGAAGCAGCTTTTTATTCATCTAATATAAAACTGCATTAACTTTTCTATGGGATGTGTGGCTGTGGGAATGGGACCGGTTGGGATTTTTAAATGCATTTTTTTGCTGATTGTTTGTACTAAAAATTGTGACTCAGTGGTATTAAAATATTTCCGATAATGGACATCTTCCTGAAATCGTCTCTTAGTTCTCCTCCTCTTCCAAACCTGGGCCAGCCCTGTGCAAGGGACTCCTTCTCCCCCATGCTGAACGTATTTTTGCCCTCCTGGGCTAAATATCTCAAGTCTTTTGCCATGTGTTGCTCTCAGAGGAGAGGTTGTGGCCTTAAAAATTACTTGATTTAAGGCTAATCCCGTGGAAAAGCCCCAGTGTCCATGCAGCAGGGTTGCACCCAGCAGCTCCTGCCAGCAGCCCCTGCACAGGCTGAAACGCAACCATCATCCTCCTCTTACTGCCCCTCAGAGCTAGGCTCTCCCTTATTTTGTCCCATTTTCCATGAGTTCTGAGCTGTCTCGTGCCTAACTGGGCACTTTGCTAATTTGAGCAGATTTTTGCTTGGGGCCAGCACTACCCCCCTCCCCACCCTCGCCATGAAGCTGTGCCTGGTTTTCCTTGGGAATGATGGTTTCCATCCAGGTTTTTGCATGGCCGGTGTCTTACCTCAGCATCCTCATCCTGCCCACAGCAACTGGTCCATCAGATACACCCCATCCCATCTCCAAAAACAGGGAATTGGGGTCCTTGGTGTCTCCCGTGACATCTCCACGGGTCACCGGAGGGCTCCCTGGGGATGAACGCCTGGGCTGGAAGCACAGCAAAGGAGGGGGGGGGAGTGGGAAAATAGCTGAGCAGTGATAATATGTTCAGGGGTATAAAGGCCCCCACTGTCCTCCAGACAATCCCTTGTGTGTTTTACACAGGGCAAAGCAGGATAAAATATAGGAACTGGACGCCAGGCTCGCTGCGATGTGTGGGATCTGCGTCCGTCCACATCGCATCCAGGCTAAAACATGGCTCCCCTCTGCCCCAAACACACTTATCTCATGAAACCCACATGAGGAACAGTATTTGGGTCTCTGGTCATACCTCTTGCTTGCATACAAACCCTGTGAACTAATATAAAAATTAT